TTCACAATTTAAGTTTCATTTTTAAGTCAGCAGTTTGAGAGTGGTAAAATTTACCCTGGGTTTAATACTTTCTTTATTACTCTAAATTTTTCATTCAAGTTTGACCATTAAAAAAGTGTTTATAGGTCACAAAGAAGTTGTGAGCATTAAGGATAAAGTACCGGATGACTTTTTTGGCCTGTTCTCTATGGTCAGAATAGACAGTCATGATGCCCTTAAAATCTGTGGATGATATAATATTAATTCAAAATATGTGGGATCAAAAGTGAAAGTATGAAGGACTTCGAGGTTAAATGAACAGGCAGAGAAATGTGTGAAAAGAAACTGAAAAGACTAGAATTGTTTAGAGAGGAACTGAATAAGAGGGGTCTAAAGTAATATACTGAATAAATGAGGCAATATTCATTTCTATTAAGAGCTGAATGTAAAATTTTGTTTTTAATATAAGATGATTGAATTTAAGCTTTAGTTCTCAGTCTAAATATTTATACACAAACATATTGGGGCAAATGAAGCACAGAGAAGGTTGAGAGGTCATAATGGACTGCCTCTGTGTTGAAGACTGCAACCCTGTGAATTAAAATCATTGTGCTGTGAAATGCCTTAAGCTATTAACCTCTCTTTCTTCTGACAGTGCTCCATAGGATTTAGCGTGACATTCATTAGCAGTGTGAAAGTTTACTACCATCCTCTGGTGGTTGTAGAGTTTGGCAGTAGTTGAAAATAGGATACTTTATTCCTATGCAGTGATCATTGGGCATAACTCTCTCCGTACTACAGCAGTGTAAGTTTTCTGTGGCTATTAAAGGCAAGTGAATCTGTGCAGATTTACACAAATTTAAATAGAACTGGACATAGTTGCACTTGTCTTGCAGAGCACAAGGTAATCGTATTGAATAGTGCATGTATTACGTGGAAGTTGCATTATCCCCTTTGGTAAGAGATACCTTGGTTTTTAATAACAAATTAAAACTAAACAGATATTTTGTTTGGTTAGTTTTTTTTCCCAGTCTTTGCTCTGACAGAATCACCTTTCTGTTGCTTTATTCCAGTAGAAAGCGACTGCCTGGCATAATCTTTGTGCGAGCAGCTTAATCTGAGCTGGTAATATTAGCCTTCTTGGTTTTGACCTAAGTAAACTGTGAATCCTAATCATACACTCAGAAGTGTCTTACATGAGAATCTGAGAGACAGAGAGCCGCAGAAGGTGCAGTGACAAAACTAGCATAAAGCCAAAAGATAGCAAAGATAGCAAGAAGTTTAGGAATAGTGCTCTGGGATATATTTTTCCAGTGAGAATTCCGATCTTTGGTCTGCATTCTTCAGTACTAGACTGATGTATATTAAAGATGACATTGTACATTTATTTTTTCCTTGATGTTTTCCTGAATATTAAATAGTTAAAAGAGGTGTTTATCATTCAGAATTCTTTTTTGTTGAAGCCCAGAGAGTCTCTTTTATATCTGTTCTGCTGTTTCATAGGTTCTGCTATGTATCTTTCTGGTTTGCGTTTTAGTGATGTTTTCACCACAGTAGAAGACTGAAAAAGGAGTGTAGTAAAAATAAAGCTAAAACAAAAAATGAACCCTGTCTTTTTTTTTTTTTTTTTTGTTAAACTCCCAAAAGTCATCTAGGTACTCTTCTATTAGCAAATTTTAAGCATGTGAAGAATAAACTTTAATTGTTTCACTGTTTGTTTTTAAACTCAGTAGTTATTTCCTGCAGGAGTCCTGCTAACAGGATTCTGTGCGCCTGAAAGAGGCGTCTGGTTTTATCAGCATCTGTCAGAGTAAATCAGAGTTTCTACAGGAATTAGCTCATTAGTATTAATTTTTGGCAATGTCTGACTGATTCATGAACTACTTTACCATTTTAAAAAGTTTACTTACTGAAAGCAAATTCTTCCGAAAGATTTTTAATTGCTAATCCTTCAATGAATCGAGGCTTCAAATAATGGCAATAAACACAAATAGTGGCAGTAAACAAGAGGTACCCCTCATCTTCTGACCGTTCCCTCTTTTTGCTGAAACCCAGGTGCTGGTATATTGGTGTATACCAATGGATATAGTCCTTTTGAACTCATTCTTCCTCTGTGGGTACTAGTCAATGTGATGCCTGCAACATATTTCCTTAATTAATTCCATTTAAAATGGATAATTAAATTCATAGCAAACAAGTCACAATTCATCAAATCTCGTAAGTTTCTAGTACTTGTTTTTTAGCAGATGATGTATGTTTCCATTTTGAGTAAACAGTGTCTGTAGTAAAAAGCATGGTTATTAATGTTGTTGCTGACTTGGTTATAACCTTTTCTTTCATTCTGCATATTTCTGCTGGGTGTTTGTAGCAACAGATTTTGCAGTCACACACTTTACGCCTGGTTACTTTCTCTGTTATAGAAGTGAATTTTTTTTTTTTTTTAAATCACAGTTGAAAAACGCGCTTTTTAGAACTTTGGTGACAAGTGCCTTTGAAACTGCAGATCCCTTCTTCCATATTACTTATTTTCAAAGATTGTTGTTTTAATGAATTAGCATCGTTATTTGCTATGTGGTTTTCTTTATTCTAAGGATAATATTAAAGTCATCTATGAATTTTGTTTTGTTTTTTGTTTGTTTGTTTTGTAAAGGCATTTCAGAGGTCCTTGCCTTCAGTAAGCATGAAAGATTATATTTGGAAAGACTAATACCATAATTAAATGAATTATATAACAGGTTTGCTGATGAATTGTATAAATGGACATTGGTAGAGCACTTAAGTTGCTCAGATCTATATACAGTTAAGCTATTATTCTGGAAGTATTACAGAGTGTAGGAGAACTGGATGCTTTGTAGGTATTCTGTTAACTTTCTGTTAACAGTGAGTTACCATTTCTCATACTGTACAAAGGCTGCTATGTTTATAATGTTTTATAAAAAAGTTTATCAGTGTTATCACCTCATTTTTTATCACTATAAGGATATGTTTAAATGTAATAACTTCACATAAGATAGGCAAAATAAATTAGCAGTATTGTACATAATCCTTGAAAATGGTTTGGACTTATGTGCAAATCATGATACAAATTATAATGTAATTATTTCACATGTTGCTTGTTTGGACACATCTTTTTCATTAGAAATGCTAAGTCTAAATGTTAATTTAATTCTGTATTGTAACTTCTTTTTAAATAAGTGGCTATGAATATTCCTGTGGTTTTGAATAGTAATATTCTACTAAATATACAAACAGGTTTAGTTTTTACTTTGCTTAGTAATTCCAATCAATAAGCAGTGTTATATATGTGTTGTGTTTGTTAGAGCTTTAACTGCTAATCTCATAGGGAAATGTTGCTTTGTAGGGCAGAATTCAGTGAGAGGGCCTGGGATTCCAGAGTGAACTTGTACATTCCTTAGGGCATTTTTGCAAGGGAGGTTGTTGTGTTTTAAAGGTAGTTGATAAGAGACCTGCACCACCAACCCCAGACCTGCACCACCAACCACCATCATACATTAGTCTATAGAAGGTATTTGGGTGAACATACTCCTGTACCACTCTGTACCACCATTTATTCAAGTGAAATTTTTGACCATTTGCAGGATACATTATAAATCAGGATGTCACTACCAGACAATCAGATTTGAACATTCCTTGCATAAAGTAGCTTGCCTATATCCCTTAGGAATACATCACTTAACTGTGTTTATGTGACAGTGTTGATATGCCTGGTTTTACATGAAAGTTAGGGTAGCATGTTATTTATGTTATCATGAATTCAAAAGTAGGTGATTGTGCTTTATATATACTGAGGTTATCTTCTCTGGATAAGTCTCTTAGAATAATTGAAAGATACAGTTTTATCATATGGTTATTAGTTAAAACAGGAAATAGGATTTTTTTCTTCAGAGTCAGGCTTTGCTGCTACCTCAGTTTTTTTCATATGCCCTGCTCTGAGGTGCTGACAAGAGATTACATGAAACAGAACTATGTTGAACCTAATTATGCTATAGCTCATTGTTTTGGGGACCCATAAAAGTGTTCACTCCCTTTTTATGAGGCTGTAGTCACAATGAAAGACCATAAACAGTGCATTTTCTCTCTCCTATGGGATTGGAAATTTCGTTTAGAGGGGTCTAATAAAGACCTGATCTAGCTGCATTTATACCTGGGAATGAAGGCTTCTTTACCAGGTCTTAATCCTTTGTAGGTCAAGCAGGAGGGAATGACAGCAGGCTAGCTTTTGATTAGCCATAAATGTCTGAAAGCTTAATTTTTTAAAAAATTGTTTGCTGTTCAAATACTGACTCAGGACATGCTTTCCTGTACTTCAGAGGAGAGACTTTATATACTCAGGTATGGTTACAAACAAGCAAACCAAAAACCAGAGTTTTTCCCATACTTTCAAGCAGGTCACCAATATGTGGGTGCTAAAACAAGATTTTCACATCAGTGGAGGGGGTTACCTTTTTTTTCTTTTTGTAAATCCTCAGACACTCTGGGGAGGACTAATGTTTAGCCCTTAGAAATGATTTGGGAAAAACATTGCCTACCTTTAATTAAGTCTGTAAACTTAAAATGGATTTGTTCCTGATAGACAGGTTTCTGTTGTATAGGTGCCTCTCAAAGAGACTGTGGGGTTTTTTTTTCTTTTCTTTTTTTTTTTTTTTAATTTTTACCCTTTTGTTTGGATAATATATGACTACGTTAAAATGAACAGCAACTTTATAGCAGTTTCTCTGGGGACTATTCTGTAAGATTTGGAGGTGGTCCTTCTCTTTTTTGATTGACTGCGCAGGTAGAAATGTAAACAATGTAGAATTTGGCCCAGTACTTTTTTCCTAGAGATATATATATTTATCTTCATAGTTTTTTGTATGTATATGTTATCACCATGTTTGTTTTCTCCCCTTTCCATGTGACAGGGTCATGGATAAGTTACAGTTATTTGACAGGAGTACACTCCAGTGTCTGTTTTGATGTGCTGGCACTGCTAACCTGCCTGTTACTCTGTTTTATCACAGGATGTGAGCGTGGGCAGTTTCGCTGTGGAAATGGTCGCTGCATTCCAGCAGACTGGAGGTGTGATGGGGCCAGAGACTGCTCAGATGATACAGATGAAGCTGGTTGTCGTAAGTGAAGCAACTGTAGAGCAACCTCTTTATAATATGAGAAATACTTAGATTCCAATGTACTCAGCTGCATCTTTGGTGCAATAAGGAAGAGAAGGGGGAGCAAAATCCTAGTTCCTGGGATGAATGAAGAATCTGTTTTGAGTCATGTCTCTTGAGACCATTGGCTTTGGTAGTCAGGAAATCAAGTAAGGCTCAGCATCTAACATGACTTAGCCTTTTCTTCAAAATCTGAGTGTCTAATAATGCTTTTTCTTCTGATGTGGACTAGGTCCTAAGTAGGTTTAGAAATGTATTGTATATCATTACTGCAGTGATCCTGAATACTGGATGTATGTACAATGACCACCAGCATCACTTAAGCTCCAAATTTCACATCTTTGAGACCACAGACAACAAGCCCTACCTACTGCAGCTCAAGTGGAGTCTTGATTAGTTGTTTAGTGTGGTGGTGGTACCCTCTGTGCCAGCAGCTCAGGGACAGCAATCACATTCAGATGGATTATAGTGTCCGTTCACAAAGATTCTTGCCACCTGAATGTTAAGACACTCTGAAAATGAGGAAATTCCTTCCACAGTATGTTTTCATAAACCTACCTGCAATTTACTGTCTGTGTTGCAATGTTCTTTGAGGTTTTGTGGGCTGTTGTAGCTGTCAACCCATTCATTGTTTAGGCCAGTTTTTGCCCCTCAGCTGATGTGGAGTGAAAAAGACAAATTTGTATTGGTTCTTTTCACATTGGATTGTTTCTTTGCTGTTTGACCCATATAGAAATTGGAGGTCATTTCTCCAGGCTGGTAGCTTGATTTGTTGCTTAGCAGTTTAGCCAGTCCTGCAAACTAGCGCAGTTCTGGATGAGGAATGCCTTTAACTGGGGGGAAAAAATGGTGGTTTCCTGTAGCTTGCCATTTCAGCTTAGTTCTGAACTAAAACTAGAAAGAAGTAGTAGGGCTTTGAACAAACTGTGAGTAAAATCCCTGTTGAATCTGTGAAAACTAAAAACCTGGCACCTACTACGTTTGTCGTAAGTAACGTAATGATGAAGTTGAGTTGTTCTCATTTTCATACATGACATCAGTTAGGAAGATGAAAACGAAACTTTTCAGTTTTGGTCAGTTAATTGTTCTTTTAAATACAACATATTAATGTAGTGTAGATAAAGGGGCATATAAGTACCTAGGAAGCTAGGTTTAAGCCATTCAAAACTGTCCTGTATTTAAAATTATATTGCAATATTGTTCTTTGATACTTGAAAAAGGAATGAAAAGATTGTGCATGAAGTGCATCTGTTGTATGTGTTTGATTTTGTCCCTTTAAGTGCTTTACCTCTAATATAGTTTAATATTTTCCAACTCTTACGTTCATAAAGCGCTTTTAGTTTCTCCTTTGAAAGCTTTGTTTACAATGATGGTTGTACTTACGCTTTGTTCTATGAGTGCAAAGTGTTTCTGGTTGACTCGCAGCACAGCAGAGGCCAAAAACACGATCCCAAGAAAAAAGATCATTAAGACCACAGTCCTGTGTACTGGACTGTGCTGTGCTAGTGATTCTTCTCAGGAGTATTAACTAGGGATGGAGCAGGCTGTAACACAGTTTCAAGCATTTATTTTGGCCTTTCTCGCTAACAGCTCCCTGTCATTAGGCTTTTCGAAAAGTCCACAGTGGAGTCGGAATAACAGCATTCAGATTGTTCAACCTTACCCTCACTTCTGCCTCATGAATCCGTGGAGGAGAATCATGAGCTTGTTTTGAAAGACCTTCTTCCTTAGCTTAAAAGCTGTAGATTTTGTGCAAGAGCAATAAAACCAGGGATGAAGCCCCTGGGGAGGTGTGAGGGCAATTCAACAGGATACTGGGGACATAGGGAAGCTAGCTTAACTCCATATATAAGTGAAGAAAAAGAGGTACTTCTAGAGGGTTCTTTTCTTGCTCTGACCTGCCTTCTAGAGCAGCCTGTCTTTTTCCATGGGAAGGTACAAAACTGAAGATGCAGACATAGGAGTTCACTAAACTGGCATTAGCCTTTGGCGCCTTTTCCCCTTCATTTTGCCTGTTTTGTTTTGTTTTGTTTTTGAACGCTCTTTCCCAAATGGCTGTGAAATAACAATCTTTTCCCTTCCTTATACTAGCACAACCAACATGCGAGGGAAATCAGTTTCAGTGTCAGACTGATGGTGAATGTATCCCACAATCATGGGTTTGTGATGATGAGGAAGACTGTGAAGATGGCTCAGATGAGCATCAACAATGCCGTAAGTATTTAAGACCTAATGTTTTTACCAAGCTTGTGAAGTAAGAGGACATTCATGCAGCAACATATTGAAACGAACCTGCTGTAAGTACAGCTTTTACCAGAAGAATCCCTTTAATGTACAGTTTCTAGAAATGAAATATTCTGAAATCTGAAATAAATAAAATGCAGCATGTATATCTGAGTATGCATCTCCAGATTTTGGAATCTGGAAGCTACTGATGTTTCAGGTAAAGAAAAATAGAGAAAGAGATTTTTAAAAAAAGTGCGTATTAGTTTTATGCTTGATATGGAATTTAGTAGTGTGAAAAATGAATAGTGAAATTACATGATTTTCTGGATATCTAAACATTCTATCAGTTGCAGAAAAAGCTGCTTCATTTACTGCATATTAAAATTCACACTAGTGCCTCAGAATTTAAAAAAAAAAAAAAAGAAATACTGTTCATTTCTCTCTGGAAAAGTTTGAAATTTATAGGAGAAAAAGGAATTTCAAACAGTTGAAGTAAATTTTGATAGAGATTCTTGTACCATCTTCAGTGATGCTATTGAACTTCTTGTTTTTTAAAATGACAGGAGCGATTCTATCTTATATTCAGATCCTGATATAGGGTGAAAGTCTGGTCTTTCATTATCATTTGGTAGCTTAATCTTAGTATATCAAATTAATATTAATAAATATTAATATTTCACTTTAATATTCTTCACTATATTAATCATGTTTTAATTACTTTTTTTAAACTAAAGTGTTTAACGTTCTCCATGTGTTATAGAGCAAAAAAGTCAAGAGCAAAGCAACTTAACTGTAATAGCCATAGGTTCTTTCCCTTTCTATGATATATGTTTCTTGGTTTTTTTTTTTTTTAATTTAGTACATAAGCAGCTTAAGGGCTACATACTGATTAGGTATGTACCAAAATGATGAACAGTAAACTGGGATGATTATTATACCTACTTACGTTCTGTGCTGTGTTGTATGAAAGAGGACTAGAAGTGTGGTAGTGTTCCGAAGAGCCAGTTTGCTGCTGCTTTTAATACTAGAAGTTACTTTGTGAGGAGGATAGGATTTATTTTTTTTTTCCTTTTGGTTCTACGTACAATTTTTGGATAATTTCTTCAAACTGTCTGAATAGCTTGTAGCTACTAAGTAACCCCCTTGATTCCGGGGAGGTTCACAGGTTTAAGTTTTGGAAGAACTTCACTCTCAGACGAGGTGTATGCTTTTAGAACTTGATATTTATTCCCATGGAAGGTGGAAAAATGGAACTAAGGTGAATTGCCTTTTGTTCTCCTCTTTCTGTAAGTGGGTGTCAGCACAATCACTGGTTATGTGTTAACTAAGGAGTCTGCAGATATAAAATGCAAAAAGAGCAACAGCTCTGAGTTGACTTTTGAACTAGGTCACTGTAATTACCATAGTTCTCCATGTACTCATTAATCATGGGTATTATGCAAAGGCTCTTTCAGTAAATATACAGTAGCATCCTACCACTGCTGCTGTATTTGAACCCTCTACTGGTATTTGCCCTTCTTCTTCTAAAGGGACTTTTATATCTCTGTGCTTGGTAATCCTAGTGGAGATTTCCATTTTTGAAATTTTTGAAGTTTTTTCTGAGAGCCAGCTGGGTGACAGTGCTGGGAGTCACACATGAAAAAGAAGGGAAATGTGTTTTACTTTATTTTCTTACTTTATTTTTTTTTTCCTAATGAGAGTAGTATCCCAATAGCTGGGCTCACTTTGGGAGCACCACTGACAGAAAAAGGAATAGAGAGCCCCTACAGAGCAGCAGACCAGGTGCCAGCATATATACTGGGGTGGTGTTTAGACATAACATGAATCTGAAAGAAACAAAAGTGCAGATGACAGAAGGGAAGAAAAGTTAGCAGTAATTTCACCCTTCAGTTGTATCTTCGCAGAATCAATTAATCTGTCTAAGAATAGAAGACATACTGTTAACTATGCACACAAAACGTGCATAAAATAAGTGGAATCAAAGTGGAATTGTGCAGTTTTGTTTTCTACTGACACTGTTGTCACAAGAAAAGATATCCACAAAATAATCCTTGGTCCTCTTATTAGTTCTGAATGTAAAATATAGCTAACTGTTGAGGTCCTGGCTGCGTTGTAGCAGTGTCTTATCTCCAACTCAGCTGTGTTTACTTGGTGGCAGTCTGGATGATTTCTTGTTAATATGTAATGTGCTTGGGTAGTTGACCACATAACTTACAGTTAGTGATAGTTTTGTCCCAGCAAGCAAAATAATACAGAAAACTTTAAACAGTGGGAATTAGTAATTTAAATCTTTTAGGTAAAACAATTACAAGGAGATACTTTTTAACCTAGAGGTCATTTTTCTCCCAGATATCTCTTGATTGTTCCTGACACTTCCACCTTCAGTGCTAAAGGAATTTCATTTTGATGGCAAAATTGGAATTCTGTTTTAGTTTTGAATTTAGTGAAGTGTAAGGAAGAGATGAAAGTTTCCTCTTTGTAACAAAGCAATATTTGAGGAAATTACTTTTTGATAAGAGTCAGGACTGTGTTTATTGATGATAAACAGCCTCTTTTCTCTCCACCTGGAGAATGCAGAACAATAAGTGGAATATACTGAAGATAAAACCTTAAGATAAGTTTTTTAACAGTGAACCAGAATTAATCCTATATCCTTTCAGCTGAAACTCAGTGAGGAGATATGTTCCAAGGAGCTTGCTTTGTGCTCTAACCATTAATGGTCATTCAGCCTTTAGGTCCGGATTATGGTGAGTCCAAAGCAAATCCCCTAAAACGCGTCTTTGTGGGTGTTGGATCCTCAGCACCAGTTGTCTCATTGTAAAGATCCTCTTCTACTTTGTCACAGTCCTTACTAAAGTTCACATAACCAGGGAGCTGGGGAGCATTTGGTGACTTTTTCCATGCGGATATGTGTTCTAATACATGTGGTTTATGGGAGACCTGACTGGATGACTTTAGATCCCATAGTGTCTTGCTGCTCCATATTCCTAATATCTGGCACCTGATTCTAAAAACCATTCAAAAAACGTAACTAATGTAGTGATGTAAATAGCACAATATGAATTCACTGGTATCAGTATCTGGAGGGTGTGTAATAGGCAGGGGTGCGAGAGGATCAGCAGCATTTGTGGAAGACTCTCTCTCTATTTCTTCCTCTCTCTTGAATTGCACCAAGGCCATGGTTAAACGGTGTGGTGAAATTGGCTTTCAGGTTCCTCGGATTTGATCAGAAGTACCAGGACCACATGACATCATGTACTGATACCATATACACATTCTACCTATTAAAGTTCAGAATTTTTCTTCATGTATTATTTGTCTTCCAACAGCTGGCATAAAGCCAATGGGAATGCTGCATCACGTCGTCTGGCTAAATAACAGAAGTGCCATCATGAGCCCATGTCTGATCTAGATAAGCTTTTTCTTGTTGTCCGTAGGCTGGTACTAAGGCCTGACGTAGGTCCGGGTCCCAAAGAGGTGGGGGAACTCTGAAAAAGGGCAGAATGAAAGGGCTGTGGGACTATGTATGGATTTCTCAGCCCCTTTAGGGGGGTGAAACAGTGGCCTTGCAGGGTACAGAAGGCCTATTAGAGCTATATTGTCTGCCATTTGCTTGTCAAGTATTCTTTAATCTTCCTGGACACACAAAGGTACAGGAGGAGAAGGTTCTATGTTAATATTTGTGAGAAAGACTGGATTATTAAGAAAGAGGAAGACAAAGAATAGTTTTCTCTGTTTTTAAAAAAAAAAAAAAAAAACAACTTGGTTGATGGAAAACTTCACTGAGTGCCTGTTTTTTGCAGCGGGAAGGACGTGCTCAAGCCGGCAGTTCACGTGTTCAAATGGACAATGTATCCCAAGTGCATACAGGTGTGATCGAGTAAAGGACTGCACTGATGGAACAGATGAAAGAGACTGCCGTGAGTCTTAGCTCTTAGCACTAGATCTGGTTTCATTTCATCTCCCCATGGCATTTTAATCAATTTGTAAGATTAAAGGGCTTGTTGATGGACAGAATGACCACAATATGTTTCTTGTTATTGGAGTTTCATTGCAGATTCTTTTGTGTATTAGAGCTGGTGTTCTGATACAGTTCCGTTATTGCAGGACTCAAATGCAAACTGCTGCCATGGGATCAGGGCTTCTTGTTTGTCTGTGTCTTAATAAATATTGGATTGTAAAATACCCACCATGTTTAAATGGCTTAAAGCCATGGAAGACTCAAAGCTAACTTTGCATAATTTTTTCATATTCTCTTTGCATACAGCTTGCTGAGATCAGTGGTAACTATAACCTGTGCAGGAGGGCAGAATTTGGCCCCAGATCATTTCTGTGAGGGCAGTTTAACCCTTTGAAAAGCATTTGTGTTCTAGTCTGCAACTTCCCATTAAGGTGAAGAAGGATGGAGTTGTACTGTATTCAGATAACATTCTTTCATTGTGCCCAAATGGACACAATATGGACAACTAGCATTTTCAGTCTAACTCTCCCAGAGCTAATGCAGCTTGACTGTCTGCAGGCAGCCTTTTTGGTTACAACCTCCATAAATCCTGGCCTACTTTGAATACCAATGGAAAGTGCTGTTGGCCACAGAATAAAGGCCACATTTTTTCTGAGGCGCTTTTCCTAAAACCTGAGTAACAGCATATGTAACAACATGTTTGTTCATTGTTGGTATTAAGGAGAAACTTTGCACGTCATGAGTAACATGTAACACACAAGCTGATGTTTCAGCTGTTGGAGCTTTGTATACTTCTGGGAAAAAGCCAGACTGCAAACTTTACTCAGAAAGAGATCTAGGAAAAAAAAAAGAGGTGAAGGAATTGATAAAGGAGTAAGAAATAAAACGTTGCTAATGGCTCTGCCTGTGGAGAAAAGGACATATGTACATGCTGTATAAAGGAAAACCAGCATATTACTTGGCCAGCCACCTGCCAGTGCTTTTTTATCCCTGACTCGTAAGTGGCTAAAAATGAGTATTCTCTGTAAAATGAAAAGTGATTTAGAACTAAAGTGGCACTTTGGAATAAAAGGTTGCTGAGACAGCACACTTGGAATTTTTCCATGTGATAGACATGCAGCCAATTCTGAAGTCACCAACACAAATGCTTAAATGCCAAGATCCCAAGAAATCCATACCATTGCTGACAGACTATTTTCTGTGGCTTGACATTTTTCCTCTTGAAGTTTAGAGGAAGAAAGGAATTTGGTAACTTAATTTAGCAAATATATGATGCTTTAAAAAAATTCCTAAGTATATTTGTTTAAAAAATGCATATCTGTGAATCAAAAAAGGAGCTTCTTGGCACCTCTGAGAAATCAGTGAGTAGTCATTGAGTAAGGTATGGGATAGCCAGATAAAATGATGTGATCATAATAATACAGCAGATATGTGGCAGACTGGGAGTAGGGTCCTAAGGTCAATACTCAGAATTTTTTTTATTCAGACTACAAGCCACAGTGATGTTTGTAAATTGAAGTGCACATTTAACTTCATTTTTAACATTCACAACTGAATAAATTAAAAAAGGACTTTGGAAAAGGGTCTCTAAATACCTTAGCAGTAGTGCTCTGTTGCTGTGTGGGAAATCCAGATTTTGTTCATGGATCCAGTCATTGCTGCATCAACCAGTAGACCCAGTGACTGTTTTGAAGGCAGTATATTTAGCCCCTGGGAGAGGTACTGCCTCATGTCATTCAACAGCCATTACTCTAATTGATTAGCATATGTGTTGACAGTGCCTCTAAGCCACAAGAATGATTGTGACTTGTAACATTAAAAGTGGGAGCGTTGGGTGAGTTTAAAGAAATGTGATGGTGCTGGAAGACAAGAGAATCACAAAGTTGATAACAAGACGACCTCTCCAGAAAGGCTGGTTAATTTTATTGCCCCTTTATCTTGCAAGATCTGAAACTTTAAACAGAAGCCATAAGAGAAAATGAATCATTTGATGATTTTATGATAAACTATACATTAGGGATTAGTTTAAGTGTTAGATTTTACTGTCTTGAAGCAGATTCTAACATTTGCCTTGAGTGTTAATTTTTCCCACCATTTTCATCCATTTGTTTCCTGTTCTATAGCATAATAAATAGAGGAGAAATACCCTATGCAGACAACAACAACAAAAAAGCAGAAATATCTCTGTTTGGCCTTTTTCCTTACCAGATTAATTTACACTAAAGTATTTCATAAGTGAAAATGGTACATTCGGGAACTTTTGAGGAACAAGTGTTTTTTAACAATAGTTCTTTTATTTCACACAGTATCACAAGCATGTAAAACTTAAGGAAGACTTCAGTAACATGACGTCTGCTTGCTTATGGCTTCCGCTTATTGATCTTTCTGGAAGCAGATTTGAATTGTAAAGAACATAAAGTTTTGATTCTGAATAAGTTACATTATTTAAGAAACTAGTCAAATGCAAAATGTCACCAATATGAAGTAGCTCGGCAATTAAGCATGCAATAAAATGGAACAAGCAGATTCAAGCCTTAGTCCATTTTATTCCTAATGGGATTAACTGCAAGAGAAAACTACCCATGCAGAGGCTAAGATACACATCAGAACAATGTTTCAACTACGGGTCATGTAATTAGTGTATTGAAGCTTTCTTATTTCATAAGATTAATGTAGTTTCTACTTTCATTAAATATATATGTCAAGCTGTTTTCCCAACTTAAAAGTTAGGAGCTTTTTATTTTTTTTAACCTTTCCATTTTAAAACTTTAGAAATGCAGAATGAGGTAACAGACTATTGAGGTTGCAAATACTTCTTAGCAGTAAGCAGCCAATATCACTTTTCTGTGTGATATACTTTTTTTTTTTTTTTTTTAAAGTAAAGGAAGAATTCCCTCTCCACCTCAGCTTTTTAGTAGAAAAATGCAAACCCCAACCATCTCCATTTTGTTCTGCTGTGACTAACAGAATAAACTTCCTGGATACAGCTGTGGCAGCTGAGACAGGTCACTACACTATGAGGCCATCAGGGAGAAAGGGGAAGTCTTTTAAAGATATTTTTGTTGAGGCTGATGGGCTGAGTGCAGGCCCAGAAACTCTGAATTTTTAATTCCAATTTGGATGTTCACTTGCTGCGATGGGTTGACTGCTTAACATGCAATTGTCTTGTTCCCTACCATAAGTAGCTGTTTTGAGTAGGAAGTGGGCAATCAGGTCTGGGATGGGTTTGTGGAGATGGTACAAGCCTCAGTGACGTTGAACAGAGTCCAAGACCTGAGGAAAGTATAGGGGGTGGTCCAAGCAGGAAGAAAAGGTCATGGTCAGAGAGGGAGCTCATGTTCTTGATGGAGATACTGTATATATCAGCTGCAGGACAAGGCAGAACTTCAGGCTGGAGGATATCTTTGCACCAGGGAGGATTTGGAACTGGGAACCAGCCAAACTGGAGCAAGGTAGTGAAGGCAGTTGAAGACTAGAGTGTCAAGTATCAAGATGAGGCTCTGGTCAGTCTGCTAGCTCTCAAAGTATCACTGCTATGGACACTACGTGATATCACTTAGTTCACAGGAGTCTTAGGCTTGCAGTAAGTCCTCTTTCTGTTGCCTATGATAGCCTAAAGCTATCTGTGCTTTGGTGTGCCCACTGTGACGTGGTGACTCGTGGCAGTGAATCAAAGGGTTTTAATTGATTTTATTTTGTAAAATGATTTGAAATATTGCTGTAATAAGTGACACATGAGAGTAGGAAAATGCCCTTTTTTTAACCCCTCCTTCTTATAACATGAGTTAGGGTTAAAGAAGGCTACGCTTCCAGGTTGTATGACAGAGGTCAATGCCTGCTGAATCCAGTACCAGTGTTGCAACTGTTTGCTATTACTGTTTTTGTACAGAAGTATTTCCAGCTTATTGAGCTTGCAGAATAAAAATGTTAGGCAGAGAGCAAAAAAAGGTAGCTTTAGCAATCCCTGTGGCATAGCTTTCAAGCATCTTTTGTGTGTATATATTGAAAGATGCAATTTAAATGGATTTGCAAGTTGTTCCCCGAAACAGCTTATGGTTTATAAGCAACAATGTGCCTCATCTGTCGTTTGTGCTGACCTCTGCCAATTGATCACATTTTGCAAGTGAAATGCTGGCACACCATAAGGTGACGGATTGCAGAAAAGTAATTTTTTGAGAAAAATGGAGCGAAAAGTGGAGGGAGAGAAGAGTTTCCTTTATTCAGGAATGGATGTAGCTGGATTCCCCCCTATTTTCACAAAACTCGCATCATCTTCTAGGAACTGTGATCACTAAGAAAAGATGATCTCCATAATTAGTGAAAGGTTCAGATGCTCTTAGGAGAAAAAGACAAATGAAACAATGGTAACATAAAATGGAGGCACTTCACAATTAAAGGCAGGGTGAAAGAAAACAGCATTTATATTTCTCTGTCTGGTCCTTCACTTTTCTCTCCTAATCCCATGTTCTGCCTTCTGCTACTCTCTTCACTCTCTGCTGTTGCACAGCTGTAATTGCAGACCTCCATAGATGCAAATTACCTAACTTTTCCCTCTTTTAACTCAGAACCTTCTTCCTTTTCATCTCTTTCTAATCTACGTGTTGCTGAGCTAGAGAAAAACCTTTGTATCTGAGTCCCAGGATGGGAACCCATCCTTTGGCTGTTGTACTTTTTCATGTTCTAGGTCACTCACAGAACTCTGACACTTTGTCTGTGTGCAGCCTAGAAAATCCCTACAGAAGCAGTATGACCGAATTCTCCGATTTCTATCAGTTCTCATATAGCTTTGTTTTTTTAAGACCCAAATACCCTGCTCCGGGATCAGGTGCTCACAGAGGACTCTTAGTTCTCCCTAAGAAAAAAGGTGGTCAAAGAAAAGCTAGAAAATGTTTATTTTGCAAGTCGCAAATACAGTGAATAGGTATAAGATCTTCACACTTCTTAAATTTAAAACGTACTGATGGTCACCTTCAAGATTTTCTTTGGTGGAGACCTTTTCATTAAGCTGGATTGTATAGGTGTTCCACTTTAGGAGACTTCCCGTTCCTACCCACCTCACTGCCAAGGTCCAGATTTTTCTTTTTTTCTTTTTCAGAACTTCACAGTTGGTGATGGCTAGGTGCTATTGACTTTCCTAAGAAAGTGCAATGTAGTGGTTGACCCTCCAAGAAGCCAGGATTTCTGCTTAGTTCCTCTTTCTTTGCTGCTTCTTCTCCCGTAAAAGTTTTGATGACTATCCTAACTACTGCAGAACTGTCCTGATGACACAGATTCTCCTGAACCCTGCAATACATTGGCTGCAGCCTTCAGTGCAATTCAAGGCTTGCTGCAGGAGAGAAAACTTCTACAAGTTCTTCCTTCTTCAAAGGGTTTTTAATACGTGCTTGAGAAAAGGTTGCACATTATTGCCGGCAAGGTCCTTA